GTTAGCTTTCGCAGTGCGGAGTGCATTACATCTCAGTCGACAAATTCTCACGCCTTGTTACTCCTCTACTCTGTTCTAGATTCTTATAATCGATGATGTTACATCTCAGACGAGAAATTCTCATGCCATGTTACTCTTTCTAGTTGTGGATCATGAGCACATTACTTATAGAGAGTGCCCAGCGTTTATTGACGGCATAGGGCTATGGTACACTATTCAACCGGCTTTTGTTTCCCCATTGTCGTTTCTGCTTGATGAGTTCTTTTTGGATATGCAAGAATATTTTCTTCCTACGTGCCGTTAAATATCAATAGCCTTTGGTCTCTCGAAACTTTTGCTGCATTGTGATTTTGGTATCATTTTACTTGGTTCTTCGAAATTACAGTTCATTGCAATGAGGTTATTACTATTTCAATGAACTGGCAGCTCCAGTTACCAATGTTCATTAGCTGCGTTCATTCGCTGTGGCGCGGTTGCTGCATGTTTTGGGGGCTACCTCTATTTGAAAGATTGGTGAGTAAAGTTTTCGGGTAAGTTACAAGGGTCATCGTTGTGTAAATTTTTGTGAAGGATGGATGCAATTATACTTTGTAGCAAAAACAAGAAAAGTTAATATCCAGATTTGGCTAAGTAGCAGTTGGGTGCTCTGTAGCTTCACTCACTTTGCACTTGTATGCTCTCACTTATTTTTTGCAGTATTTATATATCTAAGCCGTTTAAATTTGTTATGCAAACTTGAAAATTTTAATCCTAAGCGACATGTAAAATCAAGTATTATGTGTCATGTGAGGATATGCAAGTGAAAATTTTCATGTTTGCACAATAGGACTAGTAATGTGTGCTAATTTTAAAACAATTTGGGATATTATAAATGCTGTGAAAAACAAATTAGGACGTACCAGTGCAAAGGGAGTGAAACTTTAAGGTTAAGTACCATTTTAGCCTTTATCCATCGCTTATGTCTAATAAATATTTGGCCTACATCTATCTTTACCCCCGTCCATTTATGTTATGTAATATTTGTGGTGTGTACATTTTGATCATTGTGGATGAGGATTCTAGAAAGAGCTTCTCCAAACAAAAACGACAATAAAGAGGAGGGTGGTGGTGGTGGTGGTGTGTGTGTGTGTGTGTGTGGGGGGGGG